TTTTTTTTTTTTTTTTTTTTTTTTTGTTTTTTTTTTTGGTTTTTTTTAGTATTCAATTATAAGCTCTTAACCACAAGCCTCCTTCCTTGCACTTTGCTCCTGCTCCATGTAAGGCCATCTTTCCACAACTCCCACCATGACTGGAGCAGCAAGCCTAGCCAGAAAGAGCTTTGAACCAAAGGAGGTGAAGACTTTCCCAAAATGAGACTGAAAAGGCATCTAGTAATTAAAGTCCCTACGCATCCTGTGAGCCACTGCTGGCCTAAGAAGAAATGCACTGTTCCCTGGTCCCTGCAGGATCCCACCCCTGCAGTGCAAGGGTTCAGCAAAACCTTCAGGTCTCAAAAAATGTAACAAAAAAAAAAAAAACAAACAAAAAAAAAAAAAAAAAAAAAAAAAACCCCAAAAAAACAAAACCAAACAAAGGGAAAAAAAAAAAAAAAAGGCAGTGCTGAAGTTGATCCCCAATACAACAAGAAGTGTCCCTGATTTTAACAACCTTCAGCACAGGCCAAGGAAGTGCAAATTGCTGTGGTCAGAGCTGGTGGCAAAGCACTCACCAGACGGAATTCAGTTCTGAGTTCTGGCTAAGAGCTTTAAATCACTTAAACCAGCTCCCTGGGTGTCAGCGCTTGAGGCTTTCACACCCGCTCAAGGGGAGGAAAAGCAGGGTCTGTACAGGTGGTGCCCCGGTGCACTGACAGAAAATAGTACTGCAGAATGTGCATGCCCCTCAAGCCTGAGACAATCAGAAGGGAGGTTCCAGATACAGGACACACATTGCAAACAGGCTTTAGGCAAAGAAAAATCATTTGGATGTCAGCCCTGCTGTGAATATCTCAGCACCGCAGGAGATTTAATAGACAAATACACAGAGCAAACAAAATACATGGCTTATATATAATGACGCACATAAAAAGCCTACTAGTCTAAAGATAAAGGAGGCTTTGAATCACATCCTATTACACTGCACCCTACTTTAATCTGGTATTAAATATACTGCTTATGATACACAAATTACTTTTAAAAGTTATTAAAATGTTACAACAACAACAAAAGTAATAAAAGATTTCAAGTTTTATGCACAACGTTGCAAGAGAAAATTTTGGTTTTAGGAAGCTTCAGACAATGTTTAAATAGTGTGGTAACTTCTTACCACTGCTAACAAGTGTTAGCAAATGTTAAGGCCATAATTTATTTGTGCAATTAAATTAATCTTTATTTAATGGAAAAAAACCCCAAAAGACAAATCAGCACCTCAAATCCCTCTCTGAATTCCTCCACCTCTAAAAAAAAAAAAATCCCAGGTGGTGTTGTGCTGAAGCAAATAATCTCTGTCATATTCAGAAGTAAGGTTATCTGAGGCCAGTGGTTTTTAGAGATGGCATCTGTATAGCTTCGCACCCTATGCAGGGAGCTTACCCACAAATTCTGGCAAACTGTCTCAACTCACTCAAAGCCTCCTTTGAGATTAAATGAAATAATGACATTCATTGAATCCAGACTTGATTGTTCAACACCTGCTCTGCACATAGAGGAGATGTTTGTTTTGGTCACTCTGAGAAAAAAAGTTGTATTTTGCTGTCTCCATTAAAAAAAATCTAATGCAAAGCGTAAACTTGGACAATTTTAGCAGCATTTTACAGTCCTTCATAAAGTAAAACCAGGAATGAATTAAAAAGAATGTCTGCACACACCTCAATCAAAATACCAAATATCATGGGCAGTTACAGTTGATATATCACAGTCATAATCAGAAAAATTTGAGTCCAGCAATTAATTCAACATGGGGAGTACTGCAGCAAATACATCAGATCCAACGTTTTCTGGCAAAGTAACTATTTACAACTTGTATGTACAGCTTCTGGGCTTACAAAACAACAGAGAGCTAGAAAGTTGTGTAAAGTCAAGTTTGAAATTTAAAAAAAAAATTTAAAAAAGCACTTGTCCAACCAATTTGGAGACACTTTGGCATGCCAAAAGAGGCCTTTTTTTTGGTTCACTGCAACTCTTATAAAACCAGCACATATAATGCATCAGTGAGGCCAGATATCCTGGGCAATATAGGCAAGTCTCTGTTGTGTCACTGATGTTAGCTATTGGGGGAGCCAATATCCACTGTGATCTTTGTATACAGAGGGTACTTGTCAGTTCTTAAAACCTTGTAGGATAGTGTATTTAAGCCATCAGAATTCATTGTCTCCCGTGTGTGAGCAATTCGGTCAAACCTGCAGGAGGGGAAGAAAAAAAAGCGGGAGAGAGGGTGGAGACAGCAAAGACAGAAAGGAAAAATGTTTAAACAATTTGATCTTTGCATGCCTCTCAGGCAGCATTGCAGGTGTTTCAAGAAATACCTGAGTATCAGTGCCATAAACTCCTAGATTTGGCCAGCCTGAGCAATAGGCCAATGCATCCCTATGGGGTCAAATTTTAGCTAGAAAGAAGCAAGCCAAGCTTTTAGATCACACAGGTCCTTTTCCAACTCTGCACTAGAGCAGAGGTTTATACCCCAAAGATAAGCTGGAAACAATTGCTCAGAATCTAATTTTCTGCATTTAAGAAATAAATAAAAAAAAGAGGAGAGGCCTTTGTGCCACAGTGCAATGTTGGGAAAAAGGTCTATAAACAGATAATAAACTGTCAGGGGGAGGGTGGCAGCTTAAAGAGCAGGAGCAGAGAGCTCAGTCAGTGAGAAGACGGCTGCAGCCTTTCCACATTGGACCTTTGTGCCCAGCAAAGAGAAAGCCAAGCAGTTGGAGCAGCAAGGGCAGGAGGCACCCCTAAACCTGCTGTGGGAAAGGGTAAGACACACCTCTCAGGGTTGGGTTCGTTCTTCCTGTCCCGGGAATGCCGAATCATTCTGCACTTCCCAATGACCGCATCCGGACGGGATATCCCCATGCCTTTAAACACCAGCCTGTAGAAAGCAAGTACATTAAACACCCAACGGATGTGGAATGCTCCGCTGCACCTTCCACAAACACCACTGGTTGTACCTACTATATTTTTTTTTTGAGGGGTATGTTACTAATGTACTTCCAAGCTTGCTGACACAAGGAGGGAAAGCCAGACCTTTTCCACACAGACACTATCTATGGTGTGGAGCAGAGACCTCCCCCTGTCAACACCAAGATAGCTCACCACACCCTCACATACACCTCCATCTCTTCCAAACAACACCCAACACCCACACTAACCCTGGTCCAAGCTGTAGACTGGAATTTGAGTGGGAGTCATCTAGTCTTTAACCCATCTGGATAGGAGCCAGAGGAGCACTTATTTCTTTTGATGTGAAAGCTGCAGTGTTGGGGGAAACCTAAGTGAATGGTGGTGAAGCAGCATAAAGGAGACATGTGGTCAGAGTCACAGTGGTTCCAGCTGGGACCTACTGGGTGAGGGGCAGCCCAGCTTCGTTTGCATGCAATCTACAAAGCACCTGCAGAGTTGTTTCATGGATATCAGTGATGAAAAAGACTTGATTTCTTGTTTGCCTCTCCCTTTTCACTTCTTTGTAGCATCTTCCTCAGAACTCGAGTGCCCCAAAAAGAAAGGACTGCCACCTGGCTCTGAACGCCCTACCGGAAAGCTGTCCCTTTCTTAATTTTTTAACAGAAGTGCAAAACCTCAGGAAGGTACAATTTTTTTTAACACCTTTCCTGAAGCTTAGAAGAGCTCAGAAACCCCAGAGAAAAGCTCACAGAGTGGTTTTGATACTGAGAAACATGAAGAAGGCCTCCAAATACAAGCCCCTCATGATGATTTCTCTCAGTGAATGCTGTGGATATGTGAAGCTTCCTCCCAGTCAAGCTCACATGGCTCACAGCATTATACAGACAGCCTGGCAAATGGAACTCTCCTGGGAACAAAGGATCTGCTACAAGGCTGAAGATCCACACAGACCTTGCATTGCATTGGGCAAAGTGGGTCAAGGTCTCATCCACCCTCAGCTGCATGTCCTGAATTCCCTTCTTTGAGCCAGTGCTGGGAGACACTGCTCCAGCCAGTGCACTGGAGTGATGCTGGTGAGGCGATAGGGAGAATGAATGATGGCAGGGGGAGGGGTGTGACTTTTCCAGCTAGACTCCTTCCCCACTGTCCCTTGGGATCTGAGAAATGGGGTGCCAGCACCCAGCAGGAACATGCTCTCACTGGGCCAGTAGGTTGCCCACACATCACCTTCACTTCCTGCCTGGAGACACCCCATGTCCCCCCACACCCAGGTGAGAGCAGCAGGTCTGTGTTCATCCCCACCCTGGATGCTCCCCAGGGTGTCAAGGAGGAAAAATTATTTACCTGTTATAAATGTCATCATCTTCACCACCCCAGCCCCAGTAATTGTTTGGGAACCCATTGATCTTTGTGAACTGCTCTTTGCTTAGGGCAGACACGCCTCCAAAGTACTGATTGTAAGGCAACCTGGAAGCAGAGAAAAGAGCACATTAGAGGAGAAGAGGTGTTAGCCAAGGGGCAGCCTGCCTGCTGCTGCCCTTCACCCAGCCCACACACAGCCAACACCCACTGCAAGGCACCTTCCTGCCACAGGAAGCAGCCATGTGCTGTGGTACTCTGGACTTAGCTGAGGGAGAGGGAACTGGTGAGCTCAGTCCCAAATATATCTGAGAAGTATTTTGCAACTGGAAGTAGCTGCAGCCTTTTGCTGAGCAGTAGACCGTCCTCAAAGGACAGGCTGAAATGTGTATCACCTCACCAAAGGTGACATGAATGCCACAGGAGTGGCAAGAGCTCAGACAGACATTGGATATGCCACAGAGCCTTCTCCTCCTGCAGCTCTACCGCTCACCGCCACACTCCTCAGTGCCCCAAAAGGAAGCCTGCAGCCCAGAAATGAGCTGGCAGTGTGACCTTGCATACAGAAAGCCAACCAGCTTCCACCTGAAACAGGACAATTCACCAGGAGATTGGGGACAGATGAAATTCAGACCCAGAGCATAAGGAGACGGTCCACACAGGGATCACCAGGATGTAGCACAGACTTGTCTTTGCTTTAACAAGCAGAGAAATCCCCAGGGCTATGCATTTCTATTTTAAGTTTCACCTCCATGCAAGAAAGAACTGCAACTGCTGCAGTGCCAGTAGCAGTCCTGCTCCAAGCAGGGCTTGGGTCTGAAGTGTAGGCATGTAGAGACCCTGCCAAATCCACCACTGCTATGGCTTTAGCACTACTGGCCACCCACAGGGTAGTGACCAGTCTGCACTTTACAGATGAACTTTTAAACTTCTCCTTGGGGATTTGGGACAGGGAAAAAAAAAAAAAAAAACCCAAACAAACAAACAAAAAAACCCAAAAACAAAAACAAACAAACAAACAAACAAAAAAACAGGAAGGAAAAGCAAGACATATTTTGTTCAGAACAGCTTGCTAAACCCAAATGTATGCTGCAAGAAGTTTTGCTCTGTTCTGCTCTCATGTAGCAGGGCAGGTCTCTCAGTGGCATAAAACCAAATAGCCAAAAAATTTTCGTCTTGCTCTTAAAATAGTGTCTGATGCAGTCTTTTTAAAGCTGCACATAATTCTCACTGTGTGAAAGTGTCTCACTTTTCAGACTGGGTGGAAACAGTAGTTGTCTTCCAGCTTCCAGACTGAAACACAAGAAGGGATATGTGGGCATCTGCTAAACGAAGGCTGCTTAGCTCTTCCTCACCCTTCGTTTCACCTTCCAGAAGCTGTGAATTTTAATAAACTGCTCAGCTGCATTTATCCACCTTCCTCCCCTGCAGCCACCCACTCCCTGCAGGGCCAGGCACGTTAAGACAGGCTTTTGGGAGAGATGCTTTCCCATGCTTTCAATGGAGGGCGGGGATGTGTAACACTGCGCCTGCCCTGCTAGGCTGGCAGCGGAATTAGGAAACAGATGCCACTCCAAAAGGCGTCTCACCGAAATCCAAATTTATCCATGGATACAGAGAGGTGCCGTGGCTGGCTGTAACATTTGTAGGTGTTCCTGTCATCCATTGGGATGAGGTCTACATCACTAAACACAAAGCAATCATAGTCATACTCCTTCAAGGCCTCTGCAAATCCAATATTCAGCAGTTTAGCACGGTTAAATTCTTCTTCTCCATCCTAATTTAAAAACAAATAAAAACAGTTAAGTGACTTAAATTTGACAGTTGACTTCAGCAGTTTCTTACCTGTTGCCAGATGCCGGTGTTGCTGCAGAGGGCTGACGTGCCCTGATGATGGACTGAGCTCGAGCCCAAGCACTGCCCTTGCAGCACCTGTTTAATGTTTGCAGCAGACCTCCAGTGACCCCAAATTCTGCCTGCGGGACAATGACACTTGGGACAGCCACAAACTGTGGGGGCAGGAAAAACGGCTGAGGAAAGGCCGGACCCAGCTCAGCTCCCATCTCCTGGTGGGAGCCCCCAAGAAGTTTGATATGATGGTAAGCAGTCCCTATGTCCCACTCCATGCACGGGCATTTAAAGATTGAATTTTCTTATACAGGGCAAGCAGGAGGGCTTCCTGGAGCAGCAGAGAAAAGCAGAAAGAGGTGAGCTCCTCTGGAAGAAGGGACTCTTGCTATAGAGAGAAACATTGGCAGTGCTTTAATTTACAGCCATGACAAGGACCAAAACCCTGCTGTAGCCAGAATTTCAGCACTCTCCTCCTAAGCTCTGCCACAACATGGCTGTGAGACTGTGGCGCAGCCACTGCTGAGCAGTGTGTGATCACACGCCAGACCTGATTTGCAAAGCACAAGATGGCACCAGGAGCCAAGGTCTGATGCTTTGCTGCTCACCTCTGACCCTCTGCCATGCCCTGAGCAGCCATGAACGCAGAGGAGCAGGATGCTCCCTGGGCCCTGGGCAGCAGGTTCGGCACATGGCTGTGACACAGCCTTGGTTTCTGCACGGCAGGCCAGCACAAGCTGCTTCCTGAAAGAGCTACAGCTCAAGAGGTGGATGCTGCCACTGCTGTGGTGGCACATCCCCTTCTTTGGTGCGCTTCCACCACTGTTCATCTGTCCTGGGGCCTCTTGGGATTTTCTCTGGTTGGGATGATCCCGAGGTGTGTTAAAAAGTCTCTTTTCCCCAACCCAGCTGTCGAATAGATCAGGAGTCTTTGGGTCGCGTTCTCAAGGTTGTTTATTATTTTGTATCTAAAACAGTTTCTGTCTGGCCTGCTGAGGTCAGTTCTGCAGGTCGGTCTGAGGTACACTCCCCACCCCCGGGCTGGTGTTGTCTTTTATACTACAAACTACATATTTGATATTTACAGTTATGTTCCAGTACCTATCACCTATGTTAGACAGTGACTTTCTACTCTAAACCAATCCCAAAGTGCCACCATCACCAAGAAGATGGAGGCTAGGAAGAAGAAGGGAGAAGAACAGGACAACACCCAAATCCTTCCATCTCATCTCCTAGACCCCCATAGTAAAATTCTACAGAATTTCACCTTTCACTCTATGACAACTACTGTTATGCTATCTAAACTTTTGTGACCTTTAATTCTCCATACAAAGGTGGTAATTTGTTCCATGGGTTGAACTCAAAGCCACAGGGGTCTTTGGCTGCATGCCAGGGTCTCTGACCCCCCTGCCAGGGCTCGGATCATCCAGGACCATCAGGGGGACATCCTAGGTTCTGACAGGGGGCCTTGACGGGAAAATGCAATCAGGAAGGCTCTCACCATGATGGGAAGGACTTGAAAAGAGCTGACACTACAGCAGGACATATTTATCCCAGGGCAAGCACAGCTAATGAAGGGACTGGCAAAAAGCAGGGCAGGAAAATCTCTACTTTCCTCCCCAAGTAATGAAGCACCTGGGGAGAACCTGTTCAGCCTTTTTCAGGCAAAAACATTTCAAAAGCACATGTGGATTTGAGCACAAGTACAGGCTCGCAAATTGCTGAGCACTTTAGCTTTTTAGTGAAAAGATCGTACCAAAACCCCAAGAATACTGGTGGTTTGAGAGTAAGGATTTCCAGTCGAAGACCCAACTCTGCAGCAGCAGCTTCAAACCCAAACCCTGTACAAGGCAACAGAGCAGGTAGAAAGAAACTCATAGGGCACCACTCAAAGAGACTGAAGGTTTTTGCCAGCCTGGAAACCAAGACTGCCAAATCCATTCCACTTTTAGTCCTCCACACTCTCTGAGCAGTTTAAGACAAAGGACTCCCCCACTGTGCAAGCTGTCCCCCCACTCTGCACTACCCTCACCCAACATGGGATGCAAATCAAGGATGGATAAAATACTGTGCCCAAGGAGCAGCACCTTGAAACACCACACTCTTTGTAACAGCTTTATCTGGTTAATAAGCAATCATTTTGGTAACTATTTAATCCAGACTGATTAACAGATCTGTTGCTGAAGAGCCAATGCAGGTTCTTGAAACAGCACCAAGTACATTCCAAATGAAGGTTTTAAAATGCAAGTGTCAAACCAGTTTTCAAAAGCATTCCTCACCTGCCTTGGGCATACATGACTTCACAGGGAGGAGTAAGCTTTCATGGAAGAGGATCTGAGCAAATTCTCAACATCCTCACCCAAAACAAAAGGGCTCACACAACAAAAAGGTGGTGGGTGGACGATCATCATCATACATAAAGCAAGAGCAATGAGAACTCAAGTACAGAACATGAAGGCAAGTGGAACAAAGGCTGGGGAGAGGAAGCAGCTGAGGTCATGAGACTGGAGGGTTTTCTTTCCCCAGCAAAGGATGCTGCACAGCTCTAGCTGCCCAGCACTCCTCAGGTTACAGGACACCAAACCCAAACTTGGCTCCAAGGTTCTGAGGGGGACTCATCCTGGTGCTGGCGCAAAGTGCAATGTGCTCGCACCTCAAAGCAACTGCTGGGGCCAGTCTAGGAGAGAGACCTCATATCACACCCTTTGGCTGCTCTTTTCCTAATGAAATTCAAGGCAAAGGGCACCAATTTTGTTGCCAGCAGAGGCTCAGCTGTAATTAACCAGTGCCTTTGGGTAGCCTCTATCTCTTCCAGGTGACACATGGGGATTAACAGTGCCACAAGGAGCTGTGTTTTTAAACCTCTCCCCAAAAAATCTCGAAGTGCAGAGCACTTTGTACCAAGAGCATGCAGGACCCTTCCTGCCACCTCACCCATGGGACCCTGGCAGAGCTCACACTGGAGCCCTGTGCATGGAGAGGGACAGCACACAGGGCAAACACTGCGTGTGGGCATTGCCAGTCTCCTCCCAAATGGCCACACAGCTTCACACACTGGCATGCAAAAGACTAAGAACAAGGGAATCACAGCCTATACAAGAAAACAAAGAACCCTCTCCAAGCCATTTTTTACTAACTTTGCAGTGAGCATGTAGCTCATGCAGCAAACACTGCAAGGCTGTTATCCACTGTGCCTGCTTTGACTGCAGGAGGTTGGTTTTCTGTCCCAGAAGGCATGTGGGGCATTAACACAATATATTGGAACAAAAGAAAAGACTGACAAGAGGTTTTGCTTTTTGCAGAAGCTCTCTTTCTTTACCTAAGGCAACGTGGAAGCACTGGCGTGCTTGCGGAATCTCAGATTCAAATATCTCTCAAAACTCACATGCACGCTGCAATCTTTGACCGATCCCCGACATTTTGGAAAAACAACCAAACAAGAAACCAGAACTGTGAAAACTTCCTTCCAGGTCAGCACAGAGTGCAGTACCCGCCGGTGACCCTTGAGAAAGCAGGTAAAGCGCAGCTGAAAAAACCTCCATCCCTCACCTCTGCCTAGTAGCTTGTCATCCCATGAATGCTGCTACTTGTCACAAAGAAATGGATTAGTTTGGGCTTGCTTGGACAGAGGAGCATTATCCTGAAGAGCAAGACAGCACACAGAGGACTGCTAGTTAGACAATGTAGTCAAGCTCTAGACACAGCCTCCATGCTCTCCTAGGCTTTCAGACAGAAAATACGTAATTCAAGCACATTTTTGCTCTTTTATTTTTCCTGACAATTTTGTCCCAATGCTCTCTTGTCCTGAAACTTAACCCATGTCGGAGTTCAGTGCTGGTGCCCAGCACCTGCTTCTGGCTCCTGAATTAACTCTCTCTGTCACTCCCAGAACAAACTGCTGTCTTAGTTCTGCAAGGTCTAACACTGACTCCTGCTTGCACCTGGAGGTGAGTGATCAGCCTGAGCAGAACAACATCCAGGCTTTTTTACTTCCCATCCCTTACCTCAGCTGAATCTGGCTTGTTCAGCTAGACCTGCCAAAGAAGGCAGGGTTCCTTTTTTTCAGTGCTAGACAGAAAAAAATAGAGGTTTTTGGAATCATTACTCAAACTAAAGGAGTTGCAAACCAGCAAGAAGCCACATGTCCTGACTTTGTTCTGCCTCCCACATCTATACAGGAGGCAGCTTTGTGATTCCTCCTGCAGACAGCACAGATGAAATGTGGCTGCATCTCTCCCACCTGAATCCTGCACTTATCAGATATCATGGAGGTAATGGTGAGGATGTATATTTCTGGCCAACAAGGAGAGCCATCACCGCCAGTGGGAGCTTGCCAGCTGAGTCAGGGATACACTGAGATGGCCTGAACCACACATGCAATATCCATGGGGAAGTCCTTCCTCCAGTGGACTTGACCAGGTAGAAACAAATTTCCAAAGCCACAGAGAGATATTAGGGGATACTTTGGTGTTTCTCTGTCACAGGGTGTTTTGAGGCCTCAGCACAATTACACTGGGCAGTGGGAGAGAGCAGCCACAGTCAAAACCTGCCTCCCCTGACACTGCAAGGGTAAGCAGAAGCTGAGCAGAATTCCCTCCTTTGCCCACATACCTGATACCCCCTGCAAAGTAACACAAGTAAGAGTGATGCCCCAACCACCTCACACACACACGCACACACCTCTCTGGAAAACTTCTACCAAGACACTGCAAATAGCACCAGGGGCCAGTGGAAAATGGTTGAACAACTGCCCAGTTTCCAGGGAATTGGCTAACTCTTCCCTTTCCCAAACTTTAGTCTGGCTGCATGGGCATTTGCATGGGCTGAAAGGCAGTTAGAAGATTAATTTCCAGACCTGAGCATCCGCGTGGCAATGGCCGCAGTGCGGGAGAACACACGGGTAACGGTGGGAGTGAGCAAGGCTGAGGGAGGCGCTGCAAATTTGTCACCTGTGGGGCATCAATGGGCCCTGGGCAGAGCGTGCCCAGCCGTGTGTCCTCATCTCAGAGTTACCTGAAAACTCCTCCAACGCACAGGGTTAGGGTTTTTCTAGGGGTGGAGTGTGCAAGGTGAAACACCATACATTATTTTCCACTGGCTCCTGTTACATACCGGACACTTTACAAACATCATCCCCCTGACTTCAGCCAAGTCCTACTCAGAGGCATTCAGGCACGCAAGAACAGCACGGTGGAGACACAATGGACTCGTGACAGAAACACATTGCGCTGAAAGGAAGAAGTTTGACATTACCAGTGCAGCAGTAGCAGGGCTCAGCACTCCTCTTTCTTTCTATGAGATGCGGAGCACAGAAGAGCATGTAGGCAGCGTGTAAGAACCAGATCACACAGTAATTCTCCTTGCTTCAGTGATTGCTTTGATATAGACAGGATTAACAAGCAAAGGTAATATTTCCCCACTAGAAGGAAAAATAAAATAAAAAAAAAGGAGGGCAGATGCAAAGGGAAGGACAGACAAGAAAAAGAGAAAAGCAATTGTCAAGACAGCAGAGAAATAAGACTGTTTTCCTACTGTATTTCTGGAAGAATTAATACATTTTCTGCATCTCTATTCAGTGTACCCACTCACCCTTGGGAGATGCATCCAGTGGTTTTACTACTGCTGACCATTCCACTTCTTCTAGACACAGCTTATTAGAGGCATGCAGAAGGAGAACACTTATTTTACAAAGTAGTCTTACTTGCTAACCTAGATCTGCTGGGTGTGGTCAGGGCATAAATACCCTGTGTACTGCATTTCCCTCTCACTCAAACCATGCCCAAGGGCTGCACCTGAGAAAAAGTATTTTTCTGCACCGCATACAGAAACTTATGTAAGAGTTAACTGTAAAGGACACAGCCCTAGTGCTGGAGAACAGGACCACAGAAGAGGAGCAGCCAGCAACACAGGGCAATGCAAGCCAGCATGCACCATCACAGCAGCCGCAGGGACTCCAACCGGGCTGCGGACACTGCCTGCCTTTAGAGGGTGGTGCTTTCCTCACCCTGGAGCACCACCGATGGGGACACACCACCCCCAGCTGCACTGCCAGCGCTTCACAATGGAGGTGGTTGCTGTCCCACAGGCGATGCCCCAGACCACGTGCAGGCAGCTCCCACACCTGGCGGGTGACTTTCCTGCCTGGGAAAGCAGCCGCCCCCACCGCAGGACCACTGCTGGATGCTACACCACCCTGTCGCTTCCGAGCCGTGCTCAGAGCAGGGAGGCACCAGCTGCACCCCTGACCAGCAGGGTGTGTGGCTCAGCCAGCCCTGTGGCACCAGCATCTCACGCAGGCCAACGCTGCACGTGCCAGGGAACGCAGCCCGAAGCGTGGAGCGCTGCGGCTGGCCCTGCGCTGCTGCACCGCAGCGGCACCAGCTGCTCCTTGCTTTACACAGGATGGGTTTCCTTACAGGGCTCAATTTTAGGGCACAGCATGCCAGTCCACATGCTGCAGAAATGCCTTGTGTCCTCAGCAGTGTGGCTGCCAGGCCACAAGCGCAGTCAGATGCGGACACCGAACCATCTGGGCTGCTGTGCTGGGGAACTACTGCTAATTCCCCAGAAATGTCTTTTGTCCTGATCTCTGGCACCCTGGAAATGAGCAAAGCAAGAGAAATTGTAGTAATGGAGTATCAGTTTTCTCTCTCGGGATAAGTCTCCCCGTAGTTTCAAGTGTGTGACGAAATTCGTTGCTTGGGTGACCATTTTAAATATTCATGGTGTTTGATATGGCCAAACACACCAGCTGATCCAAGCAGAAGTTTAAGGAGTTAAGACTTAAAGAAGCATGTTATTTCATCTCAGTTCTTACTGAGTTGAGAAAACTGGATAAAAATACATATCCAAGAGAGAAACTGCAGTGGAATTGTCCAGAAGGTGGTCTCTGCTGGGGCTCTCAGAATTGCATCTGCCCTTTCACCCTGCAGCTTGCACATTTCAAGCCTTTCCAAGGGCGAACAACACTCACTTATTAAACACCGTTACGCTACAAATTAAGACAGCTTGTCTTGAATGAAATGTGCATTTTCACACCTTTCTTTTTTTAAAAGGCAGATTGAAGGCCACCAGATAGCAAGGAAAAAAAAGCCCCAAAACCAAAAACTCCAATAACTTCCCCGTGATTGCTTATTTCTTTTCTATTCCCCTGAAGACAACCACTTACCAGCCCCACTACCACAGCTTTGTTTTCTACCTCCTGACTTTGTGCACTAACATGAACAGAAGGTGCTCGATAAAGTGAAATCCTACACATATATGGCACATCTACTACCAAACTAGGCATTAATACCAACTTGTCACCTTAAAAATCTCTGCATGCCATTCCTGCAGCAGCTGGGAAAAAAGGACATTTGGAAAGAGATAATTAATTGGGTTGTGATATTAGGAATTCTTTCCTCCTCACCAAGTGGTTTCTTTAAGCAGAAACTCTTAAGAGTGAATTGCACCTGAGCAGAAGCGGGGATCTCAGGTTTTCACCCAAAAGCATTGAAGCAAAATTTTTCTTCCTTTTCTTTTCCTTTTTTTAAGCAACCTTATTCCTGCCTGCCAGCCTACTGCTTTTCAAAGTAAAGAACCATTCTTCTATTTTAAGGGGCACAGGCACTGTTGCGACAGCTCTGTAAAAGCTTGTCTCTAGCGTCTTACCTGGTTGATAACATATACTCCATAATCTAGTTGCTGCCTTTGGAGAATTGGGTGCAGGTAATAGAGCCAGTACTTCAGGTGCTCCTCTCGGTTCCTGAACGGTATGATTATTGCTACTTTCTGAAGTGCTATACAGTCCTTCGGAGCAAAACGACCTCCTGCTTTGACCTGTGGGTTTATTCTTGCCACTTCTTCCAGGTTTACAGGCTGGGAGAACTCCACACGTAGTGCACCAACTGGAAGAGAGTCATAACACAAAGCAAATTAACACACACAATCTATTTCTCTGAGCATACATCCTTTACACACATTAGGGTTTTGGTTGGGTTTGGTTTCTAGGAAACAGAGCTTTTGGTCCAAACACAATCCCATCGGTGCTTGGAGGTGCTGAAGCTTGAACTGTCCATACCCAAAGCAACCTCACAGCACCAAGCCAGAGCAAACCCACAGTGTGTCTTCTTGGTATCAGAACCCGCAGGAGTCACCGACCCTGAGACCTGCAAATCCCACAGTCTGTGTGGCCAGCCAAGAGCTGTGTTCCCACTGGCACATGCACCCCAAAACCAGCCTGAAGCATTGCCCTCTGGGCTCTCACCCACCTCAGGCAGCCCAAGAGTCAAGTACTTCAAAAATAGTCTGCTCTGCTACCGACAAACTCACCTATGGCTAGTCACATGCAAAGTGAATAAAATCCTCTTCCTGTTTTTTTTTTTTTTTAAGAGATATTTTCAGTGTTCTGTAGACATGCCACTTACTGATTAGAAGTTCTGTATTAGAAATGCTAAAAAAACCCATATCCAGATTTGCATGCCGGTTGGCAATTCTGGCAGATGGTTTCAGAAGTGGCAGGTTTTGAAACCATCAAAACAATGTGTCAAAACCAGGTTAAAAGTGAGAAGGCCAGGTGGCACCAGAGAAACCCTTTCAGAGCAGCCAGGCTGGCCCTTCTATTTGCTTCCAGCTGCTCCAGCGCCAATGGAGCGACTCACCACAAAAGCCCAAGGAAGGGCCTCTCCGGCTGCCACGTCCTGCTTCCTGCACCAGCCAGTCAGCAAACTGCGCGGGCACCAGCTCTGCACTGGGGGCTGCCGAGGGCCCCTGCCTAAGGCACAAAGCACCAACCATAAATGCCACTCTGAGGATCACCCCTGAAGGATTTGGCTGCTGTGCCTTCCAAAACATGTGACTACTAAAAAAAAGCAGAAATAATTCTCCGGACTCATGGCTCATTCCCTGGTTATTTAGAAGAAGCAACTGTGGTTTGGTTGTGCTGCTTCACTAACCTGCGCTCACTCACGCTGGAGAGGACAAGGAGGAGACTGGCCAAGCTGGCAGAGGTGCTGGGTGTACCCCCAGAGGCAGCAGGGCGGCTCTGCTGCATAACACCTACATAGTGGCAGGATGCAAAGGGATCTCCTGATCTCTGCATTTTGCACTGGTTAAATGTGTGCAAGTTTCCCTCTCACGCAAGGAGAAGGCAGCGATTTCTCAGACTCCAGGACACTGGGATCAGTCTGCCCTGCTCCCAGCACTGCAGCAATTCCCAGCTGCACCGCTGACACCTGTGCCCAGTTCTGCACCCTCTGCCCTGTGGTACAAGCTGGGCCCTGTGGATGCTGCCCTGCAGCTGCAGGGCCAGGGCCCAAGCCTCTCTGCTCTGAAGTCTAAATGTGGCTTGCAGGGAGAGCTCAGAAGGTGCTCTGCAGCAGGAGGATGAGGCAAAAATTGGAGGAACTGGGGAAGGAGGGAACACGCAGTGGAATGACTGGGACTGGGGCTCAGTGGTGACAGGATCAGGGGCCAGGCACAGCCACTCTCGTGCCTGTGGGACAGGCATCATATCAATGAGGGCAGAGGTGGCAGGAGGGGGAGACAGCACATTTCATGCTTCTGCTGAATTTGGGGGCTGCTTCCACGGTGGAGAGCATTTTTCCAAAACAGCCTCTGGCCCCAACCCACTGGCACACCCACTTCCTCCAGCCATCCCTGTGCCCATGAGTGTCACCTCCCTTAGGAAACTAGCACTCAGAGCTAGGACGATGCTACACTTGTAATTTCAAAACAGCAGAGGGCATTGCACTGGGCACGGTTCACCTAACCAGTCACAGCCAGCAAACAGGATTATGTTGGGCATCTGCGCCCAGGGACTTTACTTTCCCATCCTTTTTGCACCTGGCTGCCAGCAGCAGGACCTGCTGGGATGCTGCAGGAAGCAGAGGGGCAGGAGCAACACATCCCCTCGCAGGGCCCTGCCAGCCTAGTCCATTGCCAGGCACTGGGTGTGGCTGCTGTCCCATCAAACAAGCCTGTTCCTGTTGGGACAAGCTGGGCTCTGTGCTCCCAGTTACTGAACTCTTCTCCCAGTTGCTGCTCCCAAGAAGCAACTGTGAGCCCCATCAGACTGGAGAATGCTTTCTGCTTTAACAAACAAAGGTTCTTTTAATGTCTCGAACCTACTCAGAGCAAGGCAGGAGGAAATGAAAGTCTGCTATTTAGGTGAACTTACAGAGGAAATCTCCCACTGGTGACTTGTGAGCTCCAGCTGGGCAAGGACAGCCACAAGCATTTGGAACTGCAAACAGCATTTTGCTGGCTGGCATCCAGCAGCCCCCCAAGGCAAAACATAGACCACTCATCCTGCCAGCACTCACTCTTGCTTGCCTTACAGAGACTGGAACATTGGCAAGGAAAAGATGGGAGCAGAAAGCATATTCATTGTGAAAAACAGCTGCAGAAGGCAGAGATTTAACAGTTTCACAGTCTTGAAGGGCATTGGTGAGAAATTATCCCTACTGCTCCAACCTCCTGCTTATGAATCAGTTTTAAAGGCAGCACACCTTCTCACAAATACTGCCCTAAGGGATGCAGCCAACATGTGGGTCAGTGAGAAGTCCCCAGGCACCAGTGCCATCCACATGTGGCAAGGCAGGCGCCTCAGAGACAGGCTGCACACAAGTCACTCAGTTAACACATTCACCAAATACAAAACCAGAAAAAAAGCTGAATAGGCTGTTTTGAAATACAGAATGACTAAAACAAACTCGACTTCGTAAAACCATGTGGCTGACACAAAGCAGCAGCAACATTGACACTTTCGTTTCACTTCCCAAGCAGGACAAGGCTAAAGCCAAATCCACAAACACACAGGCTTTCCAACTGGTTAATAGAGTCACAGTTCCAGCTACTAATTTAAATCATTTTCACTGAAATTTGACTACCTGTATAGCAAGCAGCCCTAGGGCTGTTGTTTCCCAAGGATGCTGACTCAGGATGTAATCTGCAATGCCAAGAAAATGTGCAAAGTCTGCTGCAAGTGCTGTCCCTCCTGTCAAGACTGTGTCCCTATCTATGTTTACTAGGTAAACTTTCCAGCTCGATTCACTCCATCTGAATCTTTTCTGATTCTGTTCAAGCTGACTGCCTGCCATAGGAGTCACTGTATATGGAGTCCCTTCTGAAAAAACAGACAGGCATGACAGCACTGCGTGGACTTGCAACACTGGTCACCCATGCAGCCCGGCATCTGTAGGCAGATGCCTGTTGGGTTCAGCATCACAAAGCTCCAACAGAGCAGCTTCATGAGCCCCCACTGTGTACTTTTAGCAAAAGAAAATCTCAAAAACATAAATAAGCCGCTGCAGGAAGCTTGCAAAAGAACGCAAAAGCACAGCGTCACATCAAAACATTTCAGAGTTTGTAAAAGGAGGCTTTAGCTGGCAGTGGCAGGATAAGAGAAAGATACACCAAAAAAAAGCCAACCCATTCCTGCCCCTCAGAAGCATTTCTGCTCACAGGGAAGGTGCTCACAGGAAAAGCCAGGGGCCATCACAAACCGGAAGCAGATTCTCACACAAAGCAAAAAGTGAGGCTCGCAAAAAGCAGAGGCAGCTCAGTGCTGGAGCCCCAAGAGCCTGTCCCACAGTGCCAGTGATTTTCCCATCCCGACTTCCCAATGGCCTTGCCTGCCACAACACCTAAACTTCCTGCCATCTGAGGCTGCCAGCACACAGCCTTCCTGGTGCTCATCCTGCTGAGCCAAAATGAGAAGACCCTCACACAAGCAGCCCAGAATCTACGCAACCTGATGTTATTATGAATCTAGAGACTGCTCTAGCCTCCCTAGACCAAAGGGAGTGATCTAAGGAGGCTCCAAGAAACACTTTCCCAATACTAGAAGTGTTGGGAAAACTCAGGAAGCAATGCCTTGCAGGGCCAGAAGTGTACTCATGCATCCCTACAGGGGCTGCAAACAGGACGACCACACTCCATCCGAAAAGGTGTCACAGGTGACACAAAACAGAGCTGCTACCACAAAGGGCAGCCCTGGGGGACTCAGGCAGGACAGACTGGGGGAACCCTATTCTTCAGGAAGGCAGTGTGGCCCTGGGAGAAGGAAATCAGAAGGAGGGAAACTAGTCTCTTGGACAGGCTTGAAGAGTGATCCAGCCATCTGAATCACCCTCCCGAGAGATTCACTGGGAAAACAAGCAAAATCCACCTGCATGCTTTAAGCCAGGCATCAATCTCAGACATTTAGTTTAGTGAAAATGAAAGCAAAACCAGATAGCAGCAGTTGGAAAAAGGCTCTCCCCGAACAAAGCCAAAAAGAATATTTCCATCACCCTGGCTGAGAGCTGGGCACTGCTATCCATCCGCTGAGCCATGTGCACACCCGCACTATCACACTCAGACAATCCTCATGTGGAAGAAAAGCTGGAAAAGAGAAGCAGAGCTCGCAAGAGGGAAAAAAAACCAAACAACCCTCTCTTTGCAGGGGCCCGACAGAAAAGGGAAGGAAGGGCCTGTCAGCCACACCAAACCCGCCTTGGCTGGGAAAAACACTATCAGCTCCACCCCAGACAATGTGAGAGCAAGTTCCCCACCCGAGGCTGTGAAGCAGGGCTGGACCCCAGCCCCACATGGCAGCTCCAGGCAGGCAGGCAGCTGCATCCCACAGTTTGGCAAAGCAGTAACTTCCTCTTAAGGTAATTGAAATAATTTCCCATCAGCTAAACTTCAGAGCTGTGCCAGCAGTTTTCCAGATGGCCCCAGAGAGACTCAAGTCATGGTTCAGGCCGGTGGTGGGGGGACAGGGCAGCCCCCATGTGCCTTGCCCATCTGGGTCTCCCACGCAGCCATGTCCTGGCATGCAACTCACTGGTCAAAATGGCCAAGTGGCTGGCAGCCTCTTGCTGCCATTGCTCCCCTAGGAGAGTTTAAAGAAAAAACTCCTTGG